CGAACGGCATCACCAAGTATTCGTAGGAGCCGTATCTGGTACGGAACGCTGTCTTGTGGACGGAGTTGTCTGCCATCTTGATCTGCCAGTAGCCCGATCGTAGGTCCAGCTTCGAAAATACTGTTGCTCCACGCAGTTGATCGAGTAGGTCGTCTATGCGCGGTATGGGATATTTGTTTTTGACTGTCTATTTGTTCAGTGCGCGGTAGTCGATGCACATCCGTAGACTGCCGTCTGGTTTTGGAGTGAAGAGAACTGGTGCGCCGTAGGGAGAGGTGGATGGGCGGATCAGTTGTCTGTCCAGTAGATACTCTATCTGTTTTTTCATGTCTGTCAGTTCAGTCGGACTCAGTCGGTATGGTGCACGTGAGACGGGTTTCGCACCTGGTTCCTCCACGATCTCGTGCTCGTGGGTGCGTGCTGGAGGTACGCCTGCAGGTAGGTCGTCGGGCAATATATCCTTATACTGCTCCAAGACCTCTTTCACTGCTGCAGGTAGCTCGGAACTCGGCTTCTCCTCCTCTGCTGCTGCCATAACCAGTGCTAGGTAACCCGTGTTACTCTTGTTCACCGTCTGGTCGAACCGTGTCAGTGTCGTTTGAGGTATGTCCCCTGTATCCGTCCAGCTTTGCAGCTCCACTCGTTTCCCGTTGTTGTAGATGCACACCTTGCTGTTGACCCAATCGATCTCGGGGTTGAACTGCTTCAGGAAATCTCGCCCCAAGATAAAATCTAATCCTTTGATGTTGGTGACTGGTAGCTTCGGCTTCCACCTCAACGCACCTATATGCAGTTGCAGTGATGGTTCGCCGTGGATAGGAAGCTTCGTACCGTCCACCATGGTTGCCGAAAACTGGGTCTCTTCCGCCTTCTCTCCAATTTTCTCCAATGCTCCGCGGTCACACACCGAGTGAGATGCACCGCTGTCCACCATTGCCTGGAGGCGTCGCCCATTGCATAACACCTCAAGGAGTAGTGGTTTCTGCTGTGCTGAGTAGCCAAAGAGGGTCTCGTTAATAGGATCATAGGGTACATCAAACTTAATACCTTCCCTTTTTCCTATACCTGACTCAACGCATTCCAACTTCACCTAGGGGGTAGGAGGATTTTTCCGAGGCTTGTATAATTTTTCCTGAGCCTGGATGTCTCCTCTAAGCCTTGGCAGCTGTGTAGGCTTCACCCGTGGGCGACGGGGAGCCTTAACACTGTGCTGCGGGGAGAGAATATCAACTCCACGGAACGCACGACCCTTTTCTACGCTCCGTAGTACTTTGCCCAACTTCTCAGGTACCTGAATAATTTCTAAAGGTTTTTTCTTGGCCTCTAGACCTCCCCTGAATTTTTTGAAGGCTTGTAAACCACGAGAAGCAATATTCTTCGCTAGAGCATCTTTATAGGATACTTTTAACGAATTCTTACTTTTGTGGGTGTTCGGCTGGAGTTTCCCGGTCGGTTCAGAGTCTTTTTTCGCGGAGCCTCCATTCGCCTCAGCGATTTCCCCTGATGCCGGCGGGTCGTGACGTTTTAAATTCGCGCCATCATTTTCTCCTTTTTTCACCCGCTCCGAAGTCGCCACGTCGTCGCCTTTTCCTGCTTTTCGGGTCTTTACGCGATCGCCAGGTCGATCCGCGGCTACTGGCGATTCCCGTTTTTTGACTTCGGGGGTGCTCCACTGTTTCCGTCCCGGAGTGCCGCACGTGCTTTCTTCATTTTGTAGCACGACAAAAACTGATGTCCTGCTGCGCCGCAAAATTCGCATTTTCTCGGATGCTGCTTCGCGTCGTATTTGTTGATATCCATCGTTTCGGCGAACGTGGGGGGTGCCGATCGCTCCGTGCCGAATGTACGGTTCGGCGTGAAGCGTCGTGTTTCGGGTTGACTTCGAGTCAGCGCGTCGTATCGCTCGGCAGCACGCACGATGTCTCTGTAGCTGTTGTAATTCGCCGCAATCACCTGCCGCCGAATCTCCATTTTTAATCCTTCGGTGTACGCCTGGAGTTTTTCGCCTTCGGTCAGGTCGGTGATGCGGTTGAACAGTAACTCCATCTGCTGCGTGTACTCTGTTACACTACTGTATTGCTTGTGTCGGTGTATCTGCTGCCGCGCCATGTAGGTTGTATTAATTGGTTCGAAACGCTCGATTAAATCTGCCTGAAATTGCTTCCACGTTTTCTCCCCGCGGGCTACGTCGGTGTAGTAAATCCATTCAAGAGCCGGTCCACGTAACAGTGTCGCTGCGAGCCGAATCCTTGCTGCGTCGTGTTGCGGGGTCGAATTGCCAATGGCCTCGAAGTAAATTTCGAGGGTGGCCACGAATCGCCGGACGTCGGATCCCTTCGCGCTTGGATCGAACGCCTCCGGGAGCCTCGGTCGTGCTGCTTCGAGGTTCGGCGACAGTGGTGCCATTGGTCCGTGAAATGTCGGTGTCGCCACTGCTGCTGGAGTTGTCGGTGCTGCAGTCGCTGTGGTCGCTGCTGCTGCGGTGGCGAACCCTGGTTGGCTTGTCAGAAAAGCCTCGAGTCGACGAAGCGTCGCCTACGTCTGCTCCATGTCGGTGCGGAAGCTCGCGATGTCGCTCGTAGTCGCGTAGTTGTCGCCTTGGCCCTCCATTTGGTGATTTAGAGGAAGATGCGCGACAAAAATAATCGAATTCTAGGTGCTGGTCGACTTACTACGAGTCAAATTGACTGTAGAATCGACGAGCGCGAATTCTGTAGGTTGCGTAAATCTCCCTTAGGCGAAATTCGCGTCCGATCTTGGCCGTTGAGGAGAAAATCAATCCGACGCTCCAAATTCCAACTTGTTTGGGCGAAATTCTCTGGGCTGTTGAGATGAAAATCAATCGAACGGTCGAAACTCCAACCTTTCCACCAGTAAATCTGAGGGGTGTTCGAAAACCGAATCGAGGGGGACTTAGAAAAATTGCGCGGAACTGGTTTTACATGTCAGAATAATATATAAATCTATATATTGTTTTGTAACTGCCTGTAGTGTAGACGACTGTAGTTATATAATGTTCTGTTTTGGTGGTGCACCTTTCATCTTGCCTATTTGTACTGCACGCTCTATAGTGAAACCCCTCTTTTGTTTCAACTCTCTCGACTCTCCCAACCCAACTCACTCGAACTCAACCAAGGCTCCTAAGCCATGGCTCCTAAGCCTAACTCTCTCTAGCTTTCTTTCATATGTTATCGGAGTGAGGTTCCTATCCTCGGACCTGATTTTTTTTTTTCATGGGCCCACCGCTTATCGTTCCTGCCATGGCGCTCGTCGTGGCCCCAAAAGTGCCCGTTCAGCCGCTAGTCGTGAAGGCTCTGAAGTCGAGCGTGGCAGGCTTCTTTCTGTTCGTCGCGGCCCCAGTCGGCGGCCCCGTCGCCTGCTCGTCACGCCCTGTCGCGGCCTCGAGCGTCTGCATCGACGGTCGCTTTGGGGGGAGACGGCGGGTGTGGCGGCCGAGCTACTTCAACCGCCGAGCGCGCCCCCTGCCCTGCCCTCCCGTCGACTATGCGGCTGCTACCACTGCAGCTGCCACGCAAGCGACTGCGCACTGTGCGCAGACGTTCGTCGCGGCACCTGTTGCACCCCCCCGTTACTCCCCCTCCCAACCCGAGATCTCACCAACCCCACCCGAGCCCGCTGCCGTGTCTTCCACTATGGACGAAGGTGTGGCGGGGGGGGAGGGGGAAAGGGAGGCGCGAGGGTGGTTGACGCCCCTCTGTTCGCTACTGCACGTGCAGCAGTGTGGGGGGGAGGCTTTGGGGAGGCGGGTGTGAGCAAGGAGCTGCCGCCCCTCCTCTCTCTCTCACTGCCGCACGTGACGCTGTGGGGGGGGGGAGTGAGGGGGCGACGGAAGTCAGCCGGTCATCTGCTGCTGACGCCAGCTGCTGCCGTGGCACCTCCAGCTGCCGCCCCTGCTACCACCTACCTTTTGTTGTCTCTGTTTTTTTTTTTTGCTACCTAGTGCTGGGGCCTGCAGGTGCTGCCGTCGAGCCGCTGCTGTCCTGCTGCATGTTGCAGCCACAGAGCCTGCTCCTCAGGCGACCTGCCGCCCCACCACCTCCTACTGTTGTTACCTTGGTAAAGGGGTTGGTACAGCTGGATCTGCCATCACTGCACCTTTTGTCACTGCACTTGCCTATTGCTATGATTTCCGCTGCGGCCTGTCTGGTGTATCCCATTATGGGGGCGTTGACTGCATATTCTTCCCTACAGGCACTTATGGGGGCGTGTCAGAATAATATATAATTCTATATATTGTTTTGTAACTGCCTGTAGTGTAGACTACTGTAGTTATATAATGTTCTGTTTTGGTGGTGCACCTTTCATCTTGCCTATTTGTACTGCACGCTCTATAGTGAAACCCCTCTTTTGTTTCAACTCTCTCGACTCTCCCAACCCAACTCACTCGAACTCAACCAAGGCTCCTAAGCCATGGCTCCTAAGCCTAACTCTCTCTAGCTTTCTTTCACATTACATACCCGTATCGGCGCTTTCGTCGTCGCCCCCGCGGTTTTTAAAGGCCGGAAACTAAGCGGTTGAAGACCTCACGTGTAAACCCACTCTGATACCAAGTGTGAGGATCTAGGATCGAGTTCAGAAAAGAGAATGAGAATTGAGTCAAATTGAATGTGTTCACCTGGGTACAACACGAGGCTATATATAGGCTCGACACAAGGCCCCGTAACCAGGTGTTACGCGAAGGTTCTGCGGGCCACGTAGCGTCCCGAACGGATCCTTACCGAATTTCGTAGAAGGCAATTCGGTGGCAACTGAAAAGCCAGAATTCGGTGCACGCAACCTAGCTCGGTGCTATAACTATAATCAAATAAAGGAAAGCACCTAGCCTAGGAAATCAAGCAATTCATGCATGCATATAATTATCCTATGCTAGAAATAGCATGATAAAGAAAAGGCAAGCAAGCATAGCTGGCATAAGCCGTCGTACTCTCACAACTGCACTGCCCCTGTCCTACAGTTAGTGCTGCTAGTCTACTGCTGTCATGGCTACCCCCAGTGTTCTCGCTTTTGACGCTGAGGGTCGGGCCATTGACTTTGAGGTCTGGGTAGATGACCTGCAGCTTTTCCTACAGTGCGATAGGGCAGACGGTCTCTCCCTCTTTGACCTCACCTCTGGCGCCTCCCCTGCCCCTGCTGCTGACGCTGACGCCACTGTTCGCTCCCAGTGGGCCACGCGCGATGCTGCTGCACGTCTTGCTGTGCGTCGCCACCTGCCTACCTCCGAGCGCGCGCACTTTAGTCAGTACAAGAGTGCTCAGACCTTGTACGACGCTGTAGTTGCGCGCTACTCCTTCCCTGCCACTGCTGCACTGAGCCATCTCATGCTACCGTACCTCTTCCCTGACCTTACTGCCTTTCCCACAGTCGCTGACCTCATTACTCACCTCCGCACTAGTGAGACTCGCTACCGCGCTGCGCTTCCTGCTGACTTCTGCGCCAAGAACCCCCCCCCCCCACCCCATGTACATCACTCTCTACTACGTAGTCACTCGCCTCCGTGACTCCCTTCGCGTAGTCAGGGACCACTTTCTCTCAGTCTGTCCCACCACTCTCACTGTTGACCTCCTCGAGAAGTCCCTCCTAGCGGCCGAGAAGAGCATAGTCGCTGTAGGGGCCTCTCGTGGTGACCCGCGCACCCCCATCTTTGAGGGGTGTTCCCCCTCCCCCTTACTGCCCTCTGTTGCCTCTACTGCTGCGGCCGACCTCCTTGGTCTTGAGTCGGTCGGTGCGGCGTCTGCCCCTAGCCGGAGACGCCGCTCTGGCAAGGGCAAGGGGGGCAGGGGCACTGGAGGGGCGAGCGGGGGCGGTGGAGGTGGAGGTGGAGGCGGCGGGGGGAGTGGGGGTGGCGGTGGGAGTGGTGGTGGGGGTGGAGGTGTCGGTGGCGGCATTGGTGGCGGAGGCGGCGGCGGCGGTGGCGGTGGGAGCGGAGGTGGCGGAGGTGGCGGCGGTGGAGGAGGCGGCGGAGGCGGCGGTAGTGGCGGAGGCGGCGGTAGTGGCGGAGGCGGCGGAGGCGGCGGTAGTGGCGGAGGCGGCGGGGGTGGCGGTGGAGCTGGTCGCGGGTCTACGCAGAGGAGTGGCTCCAGTGGTGGTCCGCGCCAGCAGCAGCAGCGCGGTCGTGAGACCCTGTCCCCTCAGCTGCTCCGTGGGTGGTACACTGCACGCCAGCGGGGTGGGGGTTTTGGTCCGTGCACCTACGTCCTGCGCACCGGCGACCGTGCGGGTGAGCAGTGTGGGGGTGCACACCCCACCCAGCGCTGCTTTGGCCGCCTGACGGACGCGTGGCGTCACCAGTTCCCGGAGGCCTCCGAGATCCCTCGCTGGGGCGAGCTGTCTAGGGCGGGCGTTGCCATCTATGATCTTGATGTTGATGCTATTCTTTCTGCCATGTATGCTGTGTCTATTAGTGATGAGGGTGACTGTTACCGGTGTTTCCCGCCCGACCCTGGCATTGAGACAGCTGCTCTAGGTACTGGTGAGGCGGCTGCCCTAGGTGCTTGCGACGCTGCTGCTCTAGGTGCTAGTGCGTCTGCGTCCTCAGGTACTGGTAAGTCAGCGCTCTCAGGTACTACGTCGGCTTCGGCCTCCCTCACCTTCACCCTTGACTCTTGGGCTTCTCGCTCCTTCTTTCGGGACCGCACCACACTCCCGCCGCTTAGCCGGCCGGTTGCGGTGTCTCTGGCTGACCCCTCTGGGGGTCGTGTCCTGTCTCACTTCTCCACGGTCCTCCCGTGTCCGGCGACTCCCTTTGGCACCCTGTCTGGTTTCTACCTCCCCTCGTTCTTTACGAACCTGGTGAGTGGTGCTGATCTACAGGATGGGGGAGTACACCAGTTCACTCCTGCGCGTCAGCGGGTGACCCACTGCACAGAGGCTAGCACAGGCCGACACCTGGCTACGTTTACCCGTCAGCCGGGGTCGAGCCTGTACACACTGACCACTGCGTCTCCTCCAGTTGTTGAGTCTGGTAGGGTCACTGCGTCGGGTCAGGTGTTTGCTGCAGCGTCCAGGTCTGGTCCTGAGTCTGCCCCCTGTTCGTGTCGTCTCCTATCTCACGAGACTCTCCTCTGGCACCACCGCCTTGGTCACCCCTCTCTGCTTCGGCTCAAAGGCATGGCCACCCGTCTTCTTGTTTCTGGTCTCCCTCGGTCCCTCCCTCCCCTTCCTCAAGGCCCTGGCCCTACCTGTGTCCCTTGTATCAAGGGGCGCCAGCGGGCTGCCCCTCACTCCTCCCAGTTTCCTCCGACAGAGGCCCCGTTGCAGACGCTTCACATGGACGTGTGGGGCCCAGCCCGCGTACGTGGACAGGGTCACGAGCGCTACTTCCTGCTCGTTGTTGCGACTACTCGCGTTACACCGCAGTCTTCCCCTTGCGCACCAAGGGTGATGTAAATGAGGTTCTAATCGACTGGATCCCCGCAGCTCGTCTCCATCTCCGGCAGAGCTTTGGCTCGGACTTTCCTGTTATGCGTGTGCACTCGGACAGAGGTGGAGAGTTTTCGTCTGGCCTTCTGAGAGCCTACTGTCGCGCACGAGGAATCCGTGAGACCTTCACGTTTCCGGACTCCCGGCAGCAAAATGGGATTGCTGAGCGCCGCATTGGCATGGTCATGGACGTCGCTCGTACGTCTATGATGCATGCGGCTGCTCCCCATTTTCTGTGGCCGTTTGCGGTGAGGTACGCGGCGCATCAGATCAACCTATACCCCAGGGTCTCCAGGCCGGAGACCTCCTCAGCCTTGCTGTGGACAGGGAAGGTTGGCGATGCGTCGGCGTTCCGGGTCTGGGGATCTCGGGCGTTTGTCCGCGACTTGTCTGCGGACAAGCTGTCCCCTCCTGCTGCTCCTTGCGTCTTCCTGGGGTTCCCCCCTGACGGGCCTGGGTGGCAGTTCTACCACCCCACCTCTCGCCGTGTTCTGTCCTCCCAGGACGTCACGTTTGACGAGTCGGTCCCCTACTACCGCCTCTTCCCCTACCGCACTCCGTCCCTCCCCCCGCCACCGCTCTTCCTTGTACCAGGTCCCCCTCCAGTAGACCCCCTCCCCCCTCAGGGTCCTGCCCCTTCAGGTGTATCCCAGGTAGACGCAGTCAAGCCTGTCGAGGTCACAGGTGACTCTGGTGCTGCTGAGGGTGCTGAGCCTGGGGGTGCTGTGACTGGGGGTGCTGAGCCTGGGGGTGCTGAGCCTGGGGGTGCTGCGACTGGGGATGCTGAGCCTTAGGGTGCTGATCCTGGGGGTGCTGAGCTTGGGGGTGCTGAGTCTGAGGGTATTGCGCCTGGAGTTGCTGAGCCTGGGGGTACTGAGCCTGGGGGTGCTGAGCCTGGGGGTGCTGAGCTTTGAGGTGCTCCGCCTGGGGGTTCTCCGGGTGCTTCGTCTCTGCGGGAGCCACTCTCTCCACGGGAGCTGCGTGAGTGGTTTTCCCGGCGCTGGAGACGTGCTGCTGGTGCTGGAGGTTCTTCGGCTACTGAGGGTGCTGCTGTCGCGGGTCCCGGAGGTGCTCGTACTCGGAGTACTGGAGCTGCTGGGCCTGCGGTTTCGACTGGAGCTAGTGCTGCTGAGGATGTTGGAGCTGAGACTACTGCTGGCGGTCCTGCTGCGGGTACTCCTGGTACTGCTGGAGGTTCTGGCGCTACTGGAGGTGCAGCTGGAGCGGGTGCTCCTGCTGGGGGTGCTGGTGCTGTACCTGCTGTGTCTGGCGTCGCTGCGCGGCCTCGACTATACTTCGTTCCACTCCTGCAGAAGGTTCTTGGTCTTCCGCCTTCTACAGGTCCTCCTCCTTCTTTAGAGTGTCCACAGCCAGTCCCGTCACAGCTACAGTTGCAGCCTACCTCCCCTTTGCCTGCTCCTTCTCCCTACACTGGTCCTACTGGAGGTCTTGCTGAGCGTCGTGAGCCTGCGTCTCGCCCTGCGTCGCCTGTCCGTGCTGCTCGCGCTAGTGGTCGTGGTTTGCGTCAGCGTCCTCGTCCTGTCCCTGGCACGCACAGGATGTCTCTGCGTCCGTCCACTGCTCCTCTGCGTGCCCCTTTGCCTTGTCCTCCTGCGTCCTCTCTTCCTGATTTTGCCGACCGAGAGTCGGACTCCCTTCGTGCTGCCAGTCCTACTATCACGCGTCTCCTTGCTACTGTCGTCACTGACCCTTCCTTCGAGTCCACTGCTGCGTCTGCCTTAGTTGCTGAGCTCATCGACTTTGCTGCTTGCTATCGCCTAGACTACGCTGCTAGTCTTGTCGCTGAGTCAGAGTCTGTCTGTCCTCCGTCCGTCGGGGGTGAGTGTGCCCTTGGCACGGACGTCCTTGAGGACAGGCAGGAGGAGTTCCAGTGCTTGGCCGCTGCTTCACCTCATCTCGTGTCCGTACTGCTTACCCCTGAGGGAGACCCGGATGCACTTGACATCCTGACTCCGCGCTCTTACGCGGAGGCGATAGAGGGTCCCTACTCCTCTCAGTGGCAGGCAGCTATGGATGCAGAGATGGCTTCCTGGAAGTCCACAGGCACCTACGTTGACGCTGTCCCCCCTCATGGGGCGAACATCGTCAGTGGCATGTGGATCTTCAGGGTGAAGCGGCCGCCGGGTTCTCCGCCTGTCTTCAAGGCGCGTTACGTGGCTCGTGGCTTCAGTCAGCGACAGGGAGTTGACTACTTTCAGACCTTCTCTCCCACCCCGAAGATGACCACTCTTCGGGTACTGCTGCACGTTGCTGCTCACCGTGACTACGAGCTGCACTCTCTTGACTTCAGCACAGCTTTCTTGCAGGGCAGCCTGCACAAGGAGATCAGGCTGCGCCGCCCACCTGGCTTCACTGGGTCTTTCCCTCCTAGTACTCAGTGGAGTCTACGGCGTCCAGTCTACGGTCTCCGCCAGGCGCCACGTGAGTGGCACGACACACTGAGGACTACGCTTGCGGCTCTTGGGTTTGCTCCTTCTACTGCCGACCCATCGATGTTTCTGCGCACCGACACCTCTCTGCCGCCGTTCTACATCCTCGTGTACGTCGACGATTTGGTCTTTGCCACAGCTGATACTGCTGGACTCGCCTACGTGAAGTCCGAGCTGCAGAAGAGACACACGTGCACAGACCTGGGTGAACTGCGCAGCTACCTTGGCTTGCAGATCACCCGGGACAGATCATAGCGCACCATTACTCTGACTCAGTCACACATGGTGCAGCAGGTCCTTCAGCGCTTCGGCTTCACGTACTCCTCGCCTCAGGCCACTCCTCTGCCTACTCACCACTCGGTCTCAGCTCTGCCTTCGGATGAGTCCGTATAGTCGAGTGGCTCGTATCCAGAGCTTGTTTGCTGCCTCATGTACCTGATGACCTGCACACGACCTGACCTTGCATACCCTCTTAGCATTCTCGCACGCTATGTTGCTCCTGGTAGACAACGACCAGAGCACATGGTTGCAGCCAAGAGGGTGTTGCACTACTTGTGCAGTACGTCGGGCATGGGGCTAGTGCTTGGAGGGCGGAGTCCAGTGGTCCTTACTGGGCATGCGGACGCTTCTTGGGCTGACGACCAGGCTACGCAGCGGTCATCACAGGGCTACACCGTCAGCCTTGGTTCCGGCTCTATTTCGTGGCGGGCTATTCGCTCGTCTTTTGTTCTCGGCTCCAGTTGTGAGGCTGAGATCTACGCCGGGGCCATGGCTGCTCAGGAGCTTCGCTGGCTCATCTACCTGCTGACCGACCTTGGAGAGTCGCCTCGTTCTCCTCCAGTCCTGTACGTAGACAACAAGGCCATGCTGGCCTTGTGTCGAGAGCAGAGACTGGAGCTCAGAACAAAGCACATTGCTCTTCGCTACTTTCTTGCTCGTGAGCTACAGCAGCGTGGTCAGTTGCGGCTTGCGTACGTGGCCTCTGAGGCCAACACTGCTGATGTCTTCACCAAGGCACTTGCGCCTTGTGATCATCAGCGCTTCTGCACGCAGCTGGGTCTTGTGCCTGTCTTGCCTCACTTACTTACCTCTTGACCTTGCTTGTACTGTTGCATATATATACACCTGCTCTTGCTTGTCTAGTTCTTTATATATATGTACTCCTGCATGTGAACAAGCCTTGTGGCCTTGAACTTGTGGTCGGAATGTGTGGTGACTTTGTGATCCACCCTGAGCTTGCTTTGCTTGACTGGTCTTGTGACCCTTTGTTCTCCCCCACTTTGCCTATGGGGGTGTGTCAGAACATATAGCTTGTGCTTATTGTGTAGGCTATAGTGGGGTAGCCCATAAGGGGTACAACCCAATTAGGGTTAGTACTTGTACTCATTTTATTCATAGTTCAATCATTCTCATTTCAGTTTTATCAGCCCATGTAGTCGGTCGAAGGCCGGACAGGCTTGAAGTCAGTTTGGCCCGAAGTAACTGGAATCCGTTTGGCTATTAGGCTTGTGTGGGTCAAATTGGTCGGCCAGTGTTTGACTCCTCCTGCTCATGTCTGATCGCATGCCACTACCAGCGTCTTACCTACCTTCTCACCCATTTGTCCATCTTCTTGCACACCCCCCACGTGTCTCTTGCTTTTTTGTGTTGGACAGTTCCCACTCTACCAACCAGCTCACCAACTCCATCCCCTCTAACATTGGTTTGCTGTCACAACTGGTAACCTTGTAAGTAGGGAAGACCCAGGCCGGGCCGGCAAAAATACCGTGCGACTGGTTCAGCCCGACCTGGGCTGGCTGAGAAGTCCCTTGGCCCGGGTTCAGCCATGAGTACCCGGGGCCGAAGAAGGTTTGACGAAACCTTTCGGACTGACTCGGGATGGTTCCAGTTCGGGCCGGATCAGTTTCCCAGGGATGGTTTTGTAAGAACAAGTGACCTAGGGGGCCTACTGACACACATTTTGTACATCCTAGACCTGGCAACAGAATAAGGAAGCATACAGTCACAAGTAGGCATGTTCGGCCCGATTCGGGCCGGCCTTAGATGGATTTGACGCTGGACGGTCGCAAAAAAAAAAAATCCGGCAGCCCGAAATCCATTTTGTTTTTCTGCGCAAAAACAAATCCGCTTCTGGAGATCACGCCGACATCGCAACTGCTAAGGCACCACATTGGGACTGCTAAGGCACTAAATCACGACTGATATGCCACTAAATCGCGACTGCTGAGGCACTAAATCGCGACTGCTAAGGCGCTAAATTGCGACTGCTAAGGCACTAAATCGCGAATGCTATGGCACTCGACATTGCGAGTGCAATGTCTCTCGACATTGCACCACACGGGAAAAACTTGACACAAAATCCAACCCCTCCACCCCTTTCGACCGCAATACAAAACTAAACCTGAATAGCACACACACATTTCACTCAACATTGCACCATACAGCACCACACGGCACCGCACAGACTAAATACAACACAAAATCCAACCCCCCCACCCATTTTGACCGCACTACAAGTACAAAACTAAACCTGCACAGCACACACACATTTCACTCAACATTGCACCATACAGAAAAAACACAACACAACATCCAACCCCTCAACCCATTTCGACCCCTTGAGACCCATCCCCCCAGGTTTGTTTTGGCTGCCCTAAGATATTTTTTGCCTGCCCTCCAGAGCGTCAAAACCACCGTCAAACTCTCGGATGGTTCCGTCTAGCGTAAAAAACGGACCGTCAAAAGCGTCAAAACATAGTTTGGGTGCCTATCTCTATCCTAGGGTTATAGAATCAATGCAAGAGAAGAGTAGTAGAATCTATCAAATTGATCCATAGGAGACGTGCCTGCGAGGCGAGGCACGAAAACGCGCGCAAGGTTGTCGAGCAACCCTAGATCAGAAGTGTTATGATGTCTGGCTACCACGATTGGAATGATATAGAGAATCTCGACCAAGGCACGGAAACACTGATAAGAAACGAGGAATGGATGCATTGAGCAGAATCAGGAGTACAAGTAGTAAACCCTAAAGTGTTGTACCCCATATGAACTGCCCCACTACAGCCGACACAGACTATAGCATATATGCCTGACACACCCCCATAGACAAAGTGGGGGAGAACAAGGGGTCACAAGACCAGTCAAGCAAAGCAAAGCAAGCTCAGTGTGGATCACAACGTCACCACACAGTCCGAGCACAAGAGCAAGGCCACAAGGCCAGTTCACATGCAAGATCATATATATAAAGGTAAACAAACAAGTGCAGGTATAGAAAGCGTACAGTACAAACAAGGTCAAGAAGTGAGCAAGTGAGGCCAAGTAGGCACAAGACCTAGCATAGCACAGAAGCGCTGATGATCACAAGGCGGAAGGGCCTTGGTATAGATATCAGCAGTGTTGGCCTCAGAGGCCACGTACGCAAGGCGCAGCTGACAACGCTGCTGCAGCTCACGAGTAAGGAAGAAGCGAAGAGCAATGTGCTTTGTTCTGTGCTCCAGTCTGTGCTCGCGAGACAAGGCTAGCATGGCCTTGTTGTCTACGTACAGAACTGGAGGAGAACGAGGCGGCTCTCCTAGGTCAGTCAGCAGGTAGGTGAGCCAGCGTAGCTCCTGTGCAGCCATGGCCCCCGCATAGATCTCAGCCTCATAGCTGGAGGTGAGAACAGAAGACGAACGGGTAGACCGCCACGAAACAGAGCCGGAGCCAAAGCTGAAGGTGTAACCCTTTGACGACCGCTGTATCGGCTGGTCGTCAGCCCAAGAAGCGTCTGCCTGACCTATGAGGACCACTGGACGTCGCCCTCCAAGCACTAGCCCCATGCCCGAGGTACTACACACGTAGCGCAACACCCTCTTCGCTGCAGCCATGTGCTCTGGTCGGTGTCTCCCAGGAGCAACATAGCGTGCCAAGATGCTAAGAGGGTATGCAAGGTCAGGTTGTGTGTAGGTCATCAGGTACATAATGCAGCCAAGAAGCTCTCGGTACGGGCCACTCGGCTCTACGGACTCATCTGAAGGCAGAGCTGAGAGCGAGTGGCGAGTAGACAGAGGAGTGGCCTTAGGCGTGTAGTACGTGAAGCCGAAGCGCTGAAGGACCTGCTGCACCATGTGTGACTGAGTCAGGGTAATGGTGCGCTGTGCTCTGTCCCCGGTGATCTGCAAGCCAAGGTAGCTGCGCAATTCACCCAGGTCTGTGCACGTGTGTCTCTTCTGCAGCTCGGACTTCACGTGAGCACGTCCAGCAGTGTCAGCAGTGGCAAAGACCAAGTCGTCGACGTACACGAGGATCTAGAACTGCGGCAAAGAAGAGTCGGTGCGCAGAAACAGCGACGGGTCGGCAGTACAAGGAGCAAACACAAGAGCCGCAAGCGTAATCCTCCGTGTGTCGTGCCACTCACGCGGCGCGTGGCGGAGACCGTAGACTAGCCGCCTGAGGCTCCACTAGGTACCAGGAGGAAACGACCCAGTGAAGCCAGGTGAGCGGCGCAGCCAGATCTCCTCGTGCAGGCTGCCCTGCAGGAAAGCTGTGCTGACGTCAAGAGAGTGAAGCTCGTAGTCGCGCTGAGCGGCTATGTGCAGCAGCACCCGAAGAGTGGTCATCTTCGGGGTGGGAGAGAAGGTCTGAAAGTAGTCAACTCCCTGCCGCTGACTGAAGTCTCGAGCCACGTAACGCGCCTTGAAGACAGGCGGAGAACCCGGCGGCCGCTTCACCCTGAAGATCCACATGCCACTGACGATGTTCGCCCCAGGTGAGGGAACCTCGTCGACGTAGGTGCCTGTGGACTTCCAGGAAGCCATCTCTGCGTCCATGGTTGACTGCCACTGAGAGGAGTAGGGACCCTCGATCGGCTCAGCGTACGATCGAGGAGTCGAGATGTCTGGTGCATCCAGGTCTCCCTCAGGGGCAATCAGCGTGGACACGAGATGAGGCAAAGCAGCAGCAAAACACTGGAACTCCTCCTGCCTGTCCTCAAGGACGTCCGTGCTAAGAGCACACTCACCCCTGACGGATGGAGGACAGACAGACGCAGACTCAGCAACGAGACTAGCAGCGTAGTCTAGACGATAGCGAGCAGCAAAGTTGACAAGCTCAGCCACTAAGGCAGACGCAGCAGTAGACTCAAAGGAAGGGTCAGTGACAACAGTGGCCAGGAGATGCGTGACAATAGGACTGGCAGCACGAAGAGAGTCAGACTCAGGGCTAGGAAGGACAGGAAGAGAGGACTCTGGAGGAGACGGCACGGGAAACGAAGGGGA